CCAGCTCAGGTGTATGTGGCTGGTGCCCTAGCCGCTTGAGCCACAGAGGCCCAGCCCATAATCTTTATTGTTTGGCTTAAGACTAGTAATAGTTTAAGCTAACATAAATTGAATATTTTCTAGGTGCCATGCACTGTTCTAAATGTTTTAGGTGTATTAACTCAGTGAATCTGCACAATAAATTTGTGAGGTATTATACCCATTTCACAAGGGAGGAGACCAAGGCATGAATGGTTAAGTAACTTGCCCAAGGTTACTTACACAACCAGCAAATGGCAGAACTGGACTAACTAGGGAGGAAATTAGCCTCTTCTTCCTAGTTTCTCCCAGAATATTAAACATGATAATAGCTACTATGTATTGATTACTTCCTATTAGGTATAGCATTTAGTGATTTTTTTTATGTACTATTTTTAATCTTTACAACAACCTTGTAAAATAAGAACTTTACCTCCGTTTATGTATATGAGGAAACTGAGCCCTAGAAAGTTTAGATAATTCACCAAGTCACACGACCTACTTTCCGACCCAGTTTTAATTCCAAAATCTATGCACAGATTTCCTCTATTGCCTCTTCCATGAGGAAAAAGAATGAAATGCTGCTCTTCTCTACCCACTGTCTTTAACGCCATTTAGACTCTTCTGGTGGTTTCCAAGACTTATTTTGGGTGACAGTTGTTGAACTGTAGTATCTTGTCGTAATAGAGAATTTGGCCCCCTGCCTGGTTAGCCTCTGGCTTCAGAGGAGGAAAACTGTAGTTTCTCCACACAGAGCCACACCCCTTTTACCTTAAATGGCAGCTTCTATGCTCTGGCTGCCAGAGGAGCTGTCCCAAGGGAACTGTTTCTGGGGGGGCCCTGGTTGTGAAATAACTGAAGCCTTTGAAGGACTGCCCAAAGGGCATGCCCTCCTTGAATAAATGTTTGTTGAGTTGAATTTGAAGTCTCGTGTTCACACAGTTTTACTCTTCTCCTGCCTGAGTGTTCACATTTCCTTTAGTATTTCATATAGATTGATGGAAGCAGAAACTAAAACTCTTCCCCTGGAGAACGCATCCATCCTTTCAGAGGGCTCTCTACAGGAAGGACACCGATTATGGATTGGCAACCTGGACCCCAAAATCACAGAGTAAGTCTAAGTCACCTTAATTCATTACCTACAAACTTGGGATGTTTTGTGGTGATGATGTTCAGAATTTTCACAGGATATAGGGTGTATTTTGACCTTTTTATTTATGTTTTAATTTATCTTTGAAGGGATAGAATGTTGTTATTGGCCTATTACCATGTCACTTTTCTTACATTTGGAGTGTGCTACTGCAAGGACATAGACTTGAGTATCCTTTAAACTATATACTTCTTTATTCCTACTTATTCTCCCATTTCCAACTATTTTAATCTTTATACTCAGTGGCCATAGGGAACTACTTTCTAGAATCAAACCTTGGGCATTCTTTGTCCCAAAATGAAGAAGCAAGCGGAAGTCTTGATACCTTTGCAAACAGGCAGACATGTACTTCTTGGCCATAATTCATGCAGCCACAGAACCATAGTAGGTGGGAATTGGAAAGGATCTTAGAGATCATCCCAGTCTCTTCAGTTTTCATTGATTCATTAAAGAATTTGAGGTCGAGGTGCTATGCTAAGCAGATTTTAGACCTTTTAAGAACCCTATCTTGTTTTTTTTTTTTTTTTAGACAGAGCCTCAAGCTTTCCCCCTGGGTAGAGTGCCTGTGGCATTACAGCTCACAGCAACTTCCAACTCCTGGGCTCAAGCGAGTCTCCTGCCTCTGCCTCCCAAGTAGCTGGGACCACAGGCGCCCACCACAACACCTGGCTATTTTGGGGTTTTGGGGGGTTGCAGCCGTCATTATTGTTTGGCGGGTCCGGGCTGGGGATTCGAACCCTCCACCTTAGGTGTACGTGGCTGGTGCCATAGCCGGTTGAGCTATAGGCGCTGAGCCAAGAACCCTATCTTAAATTAATCAGAAGCTGTATATAAAATAAAAGTACAGGGTTGCGCTTATTA